CGGGGGGATTGTGGTGTGCGTACGTCGACAGGGTCCTTTGTGGCGGTGTATTTCGTGAAGTCGGCCCTCAGTTTCTCGACCACACCTTGCCCCACCTCCTTGCTGTAGGGCGAGATGGTGGCCACCAGACGGGCGAAGAAGGGCAGCAACGCCAGATTCACACCGTACGTGTCCGACAACATCTGTGTGATTTTGTTCCTGTTGCTCTTGGTGCAGAGGTGGAAGAACTCCACGGCGAGGTCGTCGACGGCCTCCCTCTTCTCGATGGTCTTGATCTTGTTGAGGTAGGCGGCGATCTTGCCCTGGTTCCGCTTGCGCACCTTCTTGAAGTTGAGCCGCTTCCTCTCGCCGTCGGGGCCCGTCGAGGGGCTGCCGGGGCCGGGGCCGCCGGCCTGGGAGGGGGATGCTGCTGACGCTGGTGCTGACGCTGCTGCTGCTGCTGCTGATGGGGGGCTGGATGCGTCCTTGGCTGCTGCGGTGGGTGAGTCGTCATCGGCCGTGTCATCGTCTTGCTCGTCGTCACCTGCACGGTGGGTGGATCCACGGTAGATCCATGGATCGGTTGGGTGAGTGAGTGAGTGCTGTTCTCTCCCTTTATATATTTGCGGCTGGTCTGTCTGGTTTGCGGGTGCAATGTATTGCAGGCAGTGCGTGCAGTACCTTCCTCGTCTTCATTGTCATCGTCACCGCCAGCCTGACAGGACATACGGTCACACAGACAGAAGGGCAGAAGAATGAATGGGACACGTGTGTGTTTGTGTGTCCATGCACATGTTCGTGTTGTGTCGTGTCCACTCCACTCTCTCCTCTCCTCTCCTCTCCTCTCCTCTCTCTGTCTGACCTCAGGTTTGTCCTCCACGCGTATCCTCAGCAGCTCCGGCGGCACCTTGTCCTTCAGGTCGACCAAATCCTCGTAAAACGACCTGCAATGCAACCACCACACATCAACTCAACCAACATACACCACACCACACCACACCGGCCCTGCCTTCTCTCTCCCTCTCTCCTCCCTGCGATCGGATCGACTCACCCACCTGTCGGCTTCATCCTCCCATTTCAGGTTGGCGTCGGCCCCCTCACTCTCGCCCTCCCCGCCAGCAGCAGCGGCGTCCTCTCCCGGCGCCTTGAGTCTTGTGGCAGGCCCAGCGGGGCCCTTGGTGTCGGCCTCCCTCTCCTGCAGCTCGGGCATCGGCAGGTCGAGCAGCTCGCTCAGGGCAGCCAGGTAGGTCTCCACCTTGCTGAAGGTCGCCTGCAAAGACTGGTACTTCTGCTCGTCTTCGGGGGGAATCTCCCCTGCACACACACATACACGGAGAGAGAGAGAGAGAGACGATGGGCGCGTGTGTGTGGTGTGAGGTGACTGGCCTGCCGACCTTTGTATATCTTGAGCTGTTGGTTGCGGCTTTCCTGTTCCATGAAGTCCTTGTGGCAGTTGACGAGCACCTCCCGCGCCTCGCTGCGGTAAAACTCGCTGATAATACCGCTCAGTCGGTTCATCACCTCCCCGTCTGCACACACCTCCCTCTCCCTCTCCCTCTCCCACTCACCACCGCTGCTACCATCGCCACTCTGGCGCCTCCCAGCAGCGCCCAGCAGTGGGCCAGCGAACCTCTTGCAGAAGCTCTCGAGGATGGACAGGTGCTGCATGCAGTCGTCGCGCGTCTTGCCCTTGCCGGGGCTGCACACGTCCTTGAGCATCGATGCAATCGGCCCCGCATCAGGGCAGATGCCCGTCAGGTACAGCTCGCTGTAGAGCCGCAGGCAGACCTTCTTGCGCGCACTAGCCGACTGGTCGGCAGACCCCTCGGTGGTGGTGGTGAAGCTCTTGACGATGGCGTCCTTGAGGGCGCGGCTGAAATCCTCATACTCGGCGTGCATGTGCATGGCGAACTCGACGGCGGCCGCAACGTCCTTGAGCTTGAAGTTGCATTCGCCCAGCAGCTGGCCGATCTCTGACGTGTACATGGAGAGGTTGAGCTTGCGGCTCTCGTCCAGCAGGGCCGACTTGTCGGCGTCGGCGAACCGCCTCAGCCGGTTGGTGAACTTCTGGATCTTGGCGATGCTCTTGTCCCGCTTGCCGAGGTCCTGCCGCCCTTCCGCCGCCACCTTGGCGCACTTCTCCCGCAGCTCTGCCCGCCACTTGTCGTCCTTGAGCTCCTCGGCCGCTGCTTTCGATGCAGCCGCCGCATCTTCCTTCGATGCTGGCGACGTCATGTCTGCTTATTCTCGGCTTTGGGCGTGTAGATAGATGCGTCACATTGCCCAGCGCTTGCCTGCTTGTTGAAAAGCTCGCATGATGGAACGCCTATCGACTCAGAAAGAGGCGTGGAGGCGGCTTTGGAGGCCCTGTGGAGGCCGATTATTGTGCGCACAGACAGCTGCAATCGAGAAACGAGGGAGCTGAGGCGTTCCTTACGTTGCGGCGAGAGGAGTTGTGGATGTTTGGGGCGGGATAATGGGCGAGAGGGGAGTGTGGCTGGTCCCCGACCCTTGCGGACTCTTCTGCTCTTCAGTGGTAGGTATGGGAAGACACACAAACAAACACAGAAAGCAGAGAGAGGCACACGCCTGTCCGTGTGTGTGGTTTCAGGCCTGGTTTCTGATCTTCTTCGCTGACTATGTGACGTGTGTGGGCATCGTCTGGCCATGGTAGAGCAAACAAACGGGGGGAGAACTACGCAAATGCGCTTAATTGTCGTTGCTGTGTGTCTGCCTTTCCCCCTGTTCCACAGGTTGGAGCAGACCCGTCTGCTGCACATCGCCGTTTTGAACTTTTGGGCGGGGATGGCCATCGTCAGCCAGCTGGTCTGCATGCTCACCGACCCGGGCGCAATTGCCAAACCCACTCGTACGGCCATCCATCCATCTGCACAGCCACAGGCAGGCAGAGGGAGATGTTTGGTTGTGTTGTGGTCGGTCAGCTGATTCCGAGAACAAGGAGCTGGAGTCGCAGGACAACTCTGGGATGCGTCGGTGCCTCAAGTGTGGCGGCATCAAGCCGTTCAGGGCCCACCACTGCAGTGTCTGCCAGCGGTGCATCATGCTCATGGACCACCACTGCCCATGGGTAGGTAGCCTGGTGGGTGGGTGGCGGGACGGACGGACTGGCAATGGTATGCGATGCGTGTGTGTGCACTCGTGTTGGCTGGCTGGCTGCACTGACTGCAGGTGAACAATTGTGTGGGCATGTACAACCAGAAGCACTTCCTGCTCTTCCTCCTGGTGCGCAGCGCATGACATGGGGGGATGGCATGCATGGGATGGACGAATGAAGGGGTCACTGCACTGCACCCGACAGAGAAAGCCACGCCACGTGGGCACACACAGTCTGTCTTTGTCTATCTATCGCGTTTGCTCGGTTGCAATGAATGCAGTACGTGCTGTTTATGAGTATCCACGTGATGATCCTGCTGATTGCACGGGTCGTCAGCTGCGCCTCATTCGACTACACGTACACACACACACACACACACACAGGCGGACAACACCGCGAGGAGAGCAATCCAGTGCAGTGTGTCTGTGTGTCTGTGTTGTGCCTGTCAGACACAAGCGCGATTACTGGCGGGCGAGGCGGCGAAACCCCTCACCCTTCCAATCGCCGGTGGGCAACACACATACACACACACACACATGGCCGTCTGTCCGCCCGTGTGATGGCCCCGCCCCCCACATATCCCCCCTGCGCTGCGTGTTTGGATGATGATGGCTTGCCTGTGTGTGTGCGTGGCGGTGTGTGCGGTTGGCCGTGTGCATGTCGACGGACTGCCTGTCTGGCTGGCTGGCTGGCTGGTTGGTCGATCAGAGTGTGATTGATGGTATGTTTTCTCAGTGCGAAGTGGCGCCCGCTTTCCTCCTCCTCTATGTGGTAAGGAAGGACAAATGCGGCGCTACATGACATCCAAACCCATACACCCATATGTGTGCGAGTCGAGTCGAGTCGAGTCGATCGTTGGTTCCTCCTTTCTCTCTTCCTTGCCTTCAGATAGTGTTTTTCGAGGCGATTGTGTTTGGCCTCTTCACTCTTGTCATGTTCTGCGACCAACTCAGCGCCGTATTCTCCAACGCAACGGGTGGGTGGTGGTGGGCCGTCGGACGACAGCACACACACACACACGCGAGCAGTCGGACACACATCATGATTCATGATGTGTAAATGTTGCAGGTATAGACCAGCTGCAGAACACTGCCGGCCCGCAGCGGTCGACATGCGAGGCTCTCCGACAAGTCTTCGGAACGCCTTTGTCCATCTACTGGTACCCATCCCCAGACCACACACAACATACGTGCTTTGGCGTGATCACCATCCCCTCTCTCTCTCTCTCTGTGTGTGTGTGTGTGTGTGCATGGATCAGGTTTCTGCCCACAGCGGTTCATTTCAGCTTCAAGAAGGGCGGCGAGGATGAGCGCGAGATGATCCCGTGGATGTCAGACGTCCCCTGGGAGCAGCTGGAGACCCCGCCAAAGGAGTTCTTCAGATCGCGGAGCCCTCTTCTTGCGTGTCGTCATCATGACCACTCCTGCCCCTCCTCACACCTACACCCACCCTCCTCGCCCACCAGTCACCCTGCTGCTGCTGCTGACCATTCTCACGCCCACACGCACACACATGGCCGTCAGCATCATGGTAATGCATCATGTGGGCATGGCCATGGGTGGCGCGGTGCGAGGCGTGTGTTGCGGATGGTTGTGCGGACGGTGGGGTGGCCGTGTTATCGGACTAAGAGGAAAGAGCGACACCCTCACCTAGCGCCTACTGCCGTCAAGGCTTGAGTGATTGAGTGCGTGCATGCGTGAGACCTGGTTGGTTCGTATGATAGATACGCTTTATGGTATGGGCAGGGGGCGAGCGGCGTCTCTTTTCCTCTGGCACATGCGATGCATCCATCCATCCATCCATGCCAGCTGGTCAGGTCAAACCACACACACACACACACACGCACACACACGCACGCACACGTCAGGTCAGCCAGGCCACTGCATCCGTCCATCAAAACATCCATCCACTGTGGGCACGCGCCATCCCCTGTGCACCGAGACAAACGACATGAGCAATCAAGCACGGCAGCAAGCAAGGCAGCAAGCAAACAAGCCAGTGGGGGCAACAGACAGACAGACAGACAGGCAGACAGGCAGACAGGCAGCCAGCAGCCACGGAGGGACAATCCATCCATCCATCCAAAACCGGCCCCCTCTCCCTCCCTTCCTCCTCGCTCACAAATATCTGTGTGTCCGCACAGACAGCACACGTAGAAAAGTGGGTGGCTCCATGCAATGCAATGCATGCAATGCACCGACCGATACCGATAGAGAGACACATAGATAGCTACACACCCATACAAACCTCCACACCTGCACACACACACAGTGGAGAGGGGGAGAGAGGAGAGGAGGGGGAGGGGAGGGGAGGAGGGAGGGGAGAGAGAGGCGAGACCTCACTCACTCGTCCATTGCAGAGTACGTGTGGACGAGTGGAGAGGGGGTGGGGGTGGACTGACTGACTGACGTCGACGCAGAGAGGGAGGGCGGGATGTATGTTAACACTGAGGTGGGAGACTTTGGTATATGTCTCTTTGCTCCTCTCTCTCTCTCTCTCTGTTTGTCTGTCTGTGTGAGTGAGGTGTGTCAGTCCGTCGCTCCTTCCTATCCCATCCCCCCATCCACCCGTCCACACACGTGCAGTGCACGGCGTGGCGTGAAAAAGAGAGTAGCTCCACCCACGTGTCAGCATACACACACACACACACAGACACCACCAACCATTGCACACACAGACAGACAGCACGGCAGCTTAAATCCTAATGGGAACCGAGAGAGAAGGGAGAGAGATAAGATGTGTGCGAGGAGGAGAAAACCAGCCTGCCTGCCTGATGGCCATGGCCTGCCGGTGGCCCACCAGATTCACCGTACAAGGGAGGGATACTCAGGAGGGTAGGTAGGCAGCTTACAAAGGGGAAACGGCACTGCCAAGGCAGAAAAGGGACCGTGATCGATACAGACAGACAGACAGACAGACAGACAGATCTTGGCAGATAGCTGGATGGGCATGCACTAGGCATGCAATGCCCCCACCCACTATTGGGTGCTGGTCTGTTACAAGGAAGGCGAGGCCGCTGTGGGAAAGAAGAAACCATGGCATATGAGCCTTAATAGGCGATCGATGTTTGCACCGACCCATCGTGGGACGTGTGCTTGTGTGCCCTGTTACTCAGTTGTTGCATTACTTGTCAGCCAGCAGCAGCCATCCATCCGATCAGGCAGGCAGACCGTCAACATGCATCTCTCGGCGTGAGTTCTCTCTTTCTCGTCACACATACACACATACACATACACACATAGATGTTGTGTGTGAGCAAAACTGCAGTCGGTCGGTCGGTCGGTCCGTGCAGACCATGCTGTGGGAAAACGATAGAAGAAGATACAGACGAGCACGGCTGCACTCCCACACACAGACAGACAGGCACACAGACACACACGCACCGAGGCACACACACAGGCCACGAAAACGATCAAAACTCGGGCTCGCCCTCCCCACCCCCCCTACCCCCACCCCCACACACACTCTCACTGAGCACAAGCACTCACACATGTCTGTCGCTACTAGCTGTGCTGTCTCGGCTGTTGGGGTATATATTTTATGTGTTGTGATGTGTTGGTTTGTGAGGCCTAGCTAGGGAGTGCCCGAAGTGACGGTGGACATGTCGTCGGCGGCGGTGCTCTGTGTGGTGACCCCGGAGTGGATGGGGGAGATGGCCACGTTGGGGGTGGGCGCATTGGGGGCCAGAGGGAAGATGTCCGGCAGGTGCAGCTGCGTGATGCTCACGTCAACGTACTTGCGCAACGAACGGGGACCCTCCTCCTGACGCATGGCAGCATGGCACACAGCACACAGCACCCTCTTCTTCCTTCTCTCTCTGTCTCTCGGCGAGTGTGTGTGTGTGTGGGGTGGGTGTGGTGGGTGGGGTGTCGCTTACCTTCATCTGCTTCATGAGTTGCGACCGCACCGTCGCCATGTCCATGTCCAAACGAGCAAACAACTGAAGGACAGACAGACAGACAGACAGACATGCCCCAGTCAGTCCCCGCCTCCCTCCCTCCATCCATCCATACCATTGGGCGCAGTTGGTCGAGGAGCCAGATGGCCGAGCTGTAGCGGCGCATCTCCATCTAAAGACATACACGCATCAAAGGACGGACAGAAAGGCCAACTCAACGCGCCGTAAGCGTCATGTGGTGCGGTGTGGTGCGGTGTGTCTGGTCTGCCTGCGTACCGCAAAGATGTCATCGCACATGGCGTTGAGGTCGTCAACGTGCCTAAACGAGATGGGGTCAGGAATGAGTGCGGGTGTGGGTGTGGGTGTGTTGCCTGCCAGACTTTGCGAAGTACGGCTTGAGGAAGTATCGTATGGCCGCCGCGGCCAGGCAGCTGCCGGGAATGTCGCCACCCCAACCTGACGCGCACACACGCAGTTGGACAAAGATGCAGCCAGATGGCATGGATGGGTCCCTCCCCTCTCACCCACGCCACACACCTTCTACGGCGGCTGCCTGGGCCAGTACGGCAAACTCGCGGATGAAGTAGGGTATCTCCGACTTGACGCTACCAAACACCTTAAGGCACACACATAACATACATACATGGTACGGCACAGAGAGAGGGGTGGGGTGTGGTGTGCTTGGGGGCTTGTGGGTGCAGGGCAGTGCACTGGGTACATCTTCGTATGTGTCCCTGAGTCTGGCGAGGTACAGCAGGATGAAGTCTATCGACGTGTTCGTGACGAACAAACCATCCAACGTCTTCACACACATAACATGCCCACACACAGAAGAGACAGAGGGAGATCCATCCATTCATCGTGTGCAAGAGGTTAATCTCTGTGCCTGGTCGGTACCTTGAGGACCTCCACCTCGAGCAGTCGCACGTCGTCAACGCTTTTGATGTAGGGCGCCGCCTTGACGAAGTCCTTCACAACCGGCAGACAACGCTCATCCATGAACTCCTGCAATGCAACACATACATCCGGTCACAACACACACACACACACACACACCATAGATGCACAAGAGCCCCTCCCTCCCTCCCTCCCCTCCCTCCCTCTCCACCGAAAAGACATGCTGACGTGACGTACATGGAATTTGGCGGAGACGTATAGGCATGCGACGGCTATGGCGGGCGAGTCCTTTGGGTCGATGCGCGGTATGATCTCGGTGCCCTCCTCGTCGACGTACCTGCGCTCCCAGTTGGCCAGCTCCTTCTTGTCCAGGAAACGATCAAGTACATTGACCGCCGACAAGAACGTGCTACACGTCAAACGAAGGCTGCACCACCAACATACACCACACACAGGAGGGGAGGGGTGGGTAGGTTGGTGTGTGTTGTGTGTAGCAACCGACCGACCGACCGACCTTTTGACGACGTCGCCTATCCACTGTGTGAGGTTGCGCCGGTCGCCCTTGCTGTGGGCGAATGAGTGCTCGGTGCTGTCATAGCAACTGGCCTCGTGAACATACAAATCTGGCGACGGTGCAGTGCACACAAGACAAAGAGATATACATTGCAGAGAGCAGAGGCCTCTCCTTTCCTCTGTGCCCTTGTTGTGTTGCTTACATGTCGGGAAGGCATGGATGGACGGATGCTTGGGCCATGGCTGTGGCAGGGGCAGCAGCTTATCCAGAATGCAGGACACCACCTCCTCCTCAGTAGACCCATACGCACACTCCTCAGTGACACACCCCCCCTCACCCCCACCCTCACCCTTACTGCCTCCCGCCACCTCCGACACGGCGCCCCCATGCTCATCCTCACACACCGAACCCTCAGGCTCCCGCTCACGCTCACAGTCCTCCTTCACCAGGTCCTTCACCGCACCCTGAGACTCCGAGTTCGCCATCTTGGCGTACATGGCGCCCTAGCGTTGAAAAATTGGGTTGGGATGGGTCGGTTGGCGTTGGCTTAGGCCTCCGGCTTGGGTCTGCAATGGGATAAGGCCTGCGGATGGCGCAGGGAGCCCCGGGAGGGACGGCGGGTGTCGGGGGACGCTCTCAGAGGAGTTCCATGGCGCGTGTGTGAAGCCCTCGGGTGTGCATGCACACGATATCCGACAACTACCTATCGCTGTAGCCAAATCACCACCTCACGCGCCCACAGCTAATGCCGATGTTTACACCTTTTGAAGATATGTTTCGTGATGCCCTACTCCATGACTCATTTGACGTTGACCTGCATCCTCCAGACAATCACTTCGTCTGTCGAGATCTGCTAGTGATCTGCTCATCGCTGGTCTTTTCTCAAGAGCCGAGAACCCAGATCCATCAACAGGGGAGGACGAAGGGGCGAGGGGAAGGAGCATCGCATCAGGGAGGGGAGGATCTCACTCTGGTGGTTGTGGCTTCTTCATTCCATGCCCGGCTTCTGGTCGGGCTTTGTCCTATCGGTGATAACAGCGTGGTGTCTGCTATCTCACCTGACGCTGCTCGGCTGCTACGAGCACCACGACGCGCATCTCGACGACGATCCCTACACACACAGCAGCAGCAGCAGGAGGGGCAGGGGGGCGAGGGCGAGGGCGAATGCAGACAGTGGAGTTGTCTGCCCTGTCCTACCGTGGCCTATACGTAAGTGATCTCGAGAGGCAAGGAAGGCGCACGCACGGGAACTGCACACGACATGCGGTTTGTTTGTTTGTGGGTGTCAGAGTCGGTGTTTCACACGGATTTCATCACCGAGCTGCCCGAGGTGACCCGCTCGGCCCTGTCGATGTACCACCTGTTCGAGGGGCTGCCGAAGCTGCGTGCATTCCTGTTCTTCTCCTCTCTCCTGTCCACTGTCGCTGAGTGGATCCTCGCTCTGTGAGCAACTCACTCATCGAACGAATCAACTACTTGCCCGGGGGGATGTGCTGCAGTGGGTGGACGGATGCATGGTCTTGTGCGTTGGGTGTGGTGTGTGCAGGTATCTTGTGTGGTGGGTCTTGTGGCGGGTGTTGATCGGTCCGATAGTTGGTCTCGTCAAGCTCATCCTTGTGGCGGTCGTCGCATACAAACTGCTGCAAGTCGGCATCCATTCCAAACTAGGGTGCGCTAGGGGGCGGGGCGGTGCGGCCACAAAACACGGAGGCAGGCGAGGCGACCACACACGAAAGAGTCGTCTGTCTGTGTTGTGGCCTGGCCGTCTATCTATCTCAGTGAGAGGATGGTGCCTGCGAATATCTTGGAGCAAGTGGACGAGCTCTTCCATTGGGTCGACTTCTCTATCACACACGTGAGGCCGCAACGACACCACGACAGCGAGTGAGGATGTCATGTGCACCTCTCCCTCCTTCCGTCACATGTGTGTGTGCGTCAGCTGTGGGGCGTCGTGAGGCAAAATGTCGAGCTGATTGCTCCGCAGATGGGTTTCGTGTACCGATTCGGCTGACTGAGGAGAATAAATATTGACGTGCTTTGCTGGGCTGCCTGCTTATTTCCTTCTCTGTATTCATTGCATGCCATTGGGTGTACAGGTGAGTGCAATGCACAGGTGAGGGCCATCAGCGTGGCCCTCTGCTGATTGATTGGTCCATCTTACCTTCCGTCTGCCCGTCTGCCTGTCTGCCCATCACTTTTTGTGGCCATACATGCCAGGCCTGTGACGGGACCAGCTCTTATGCGCGAGGTGACATGATAGCCAGCTTAGCTGCCTTTTTGGCGTCTGACGCGACGCGTGTGTGTACATGGCTGCTGGATGACTGACTCTGCATGGTGGGTGGCATGGCATGCAGCCGCAGGACCGACCCTTTGTGTGTTGTACATAACCATATCTGTTATACGGTATGTCTCGATCCATCCACCATCCTGTACCGTACGCGTCCCTCATTCGAAGCAAAGAAAGAACTCCATGATATAAAATGTAGGCAGCGGTAGAACATGAAGCCACCTCTAGTCCCAGCCCCCCGAACGTGTGTGGAACAGGCCGCCACTTGCGCGCCACCGACGGCGGCACGGGCGCCACATCCACAGGCGTGAGGTTGACAGCACCGGCAGCCGAACACCCACCCACCTCGACAGCCAGGTAGGCCGTGAGTGTGCCCTTGGCCGTCGTCTTGTCCTGGGCCGTCACGGTGGTGTACAGCGCCACCCTCTTGACGGCGCCGTCGTTGCCGCTCCACACGCAGTACTTCCCCTGATGCGGGCCGGTCAGTGCCATGCCTGCTATGGTGCTGTCGTCCTCGCCGAGCATGCACCACCCTCCCTCCTCCTCGCCTTCTCGGTCGAAGAGGGGAGTGGTGGCGAGGGTCGCCGCTCCACACGCCCCACTTGAAAACACAGACGTATAATGCTCCACTTCTGTAGTTTGTTCGTGCCTCTGTGTCTCACTCCATGTCTCACCCGTCATTGCTGAGCGGTATCGTATGGAAGAAAGGACAGCCATGATATAAAATATAGGCAGCAATCCCTCAGCCTGCAAGCCACCATGACAAGATGCGACACACAGCCGTGTGGCCAGCGACCTTTTGCTTTTCTTCTCGAGCTTCTCTTCTTACCTCTTGTCCGTCCACCGCTGCAGCATCCACACGTCCACACGCACGACAAGTCGCCAGATGATCTGGCCTCAATCATAGCTGCAACAGCCCGCCGCCCACTACTACCACCACCACCACCACACACCACCACCAGCGCTACCCTCCACCCCTCGGCAGGCACCTCACTCAGTCACACTCGGGGCAGTGTTCTTGCGACTAAACGAATGGCCGAGGAACATCTTCTCCACCTCACTCTTGGGCTGGTAGGGCGGGTAGTCCACTTCCCACTGCTCCTTGATGGCCTTGAGGATGGCCACGGCTGGAGCAGGCCTCGTGGTTGAGGAACCAGTTGTATATGATCTCTTTCTTGAGCCCCTCCCACGCCTCCGGCGTTGTGGCCCACTTGATGCACACCTGCCCCACCATCTCCTTCTTGTCGCCCGTAAGGACGATGTGCGACGTCACCACAGTGCTGCTGCCCCTCTCCTCGTCGAAGGGAGGCAGCACGTGCCACGTGTGGGCGGGGGCAGGGGAGGTGGGTAGGGCAGCACGTGGAGCTCGTACTTCTTCGTCAAGTGTTTGGCGAAGGCGTCGAAGTCGAGCCTGATGGGATCGCCGTCCTTGTCCAGCATCGGCTGCTCCTCCTTGGCCTCCTCCTCTCTGCTGTCGGTGTTGGTCGCCGCTCCACACGCCCCACTTCAAAACACAGACACATAATGCTCCACTTCTGTAGTTTGTTCGTGTCTCTGTGTCTCACTCCATGTCTCACCCTACCGTTTGCGCTGCATCCTTTGGCAAAAAAGACAGTCATGATATAAAATGTAGGCAGCAATCCCTCAACCTACAAGCCACCATGACAAGATGCGACACACAGCCACATGGTCGGCGACCTCTTGCTTTTCTTCTCGAGCTTCTCTTACCTCCTGTCCGCTTACACCCGACCGTCCACCCGGCGGCCACCTCACTCACTCACAGGGCCTTGTTCTTGCGACTAAACGAATGGCCGCAGAGCATGCCGTCCACCTCGTCTGTGGGCTCGTACGGTGGCAACTCGACGCCCCACACCTCCTTGATGTTCCTGTGGATGGCCTCCTGCCGCCACTTGAAGGAGAAGGCCCTGTGGGTGAGGAACCAGTTGTAGATGATCTCCCTCTGCAACTTCTCCCACGCCCTCTCCGTCTTGGCCCACTTGATGGCCACGCTGCCCACCCTCTCCGTGCCGTCGGCAGTCAGAACGATGTGGAATGTCACCACAACGTCCGTGCCGGGCACCTCGTCGTATGGGGGC